TTCATTTGTATTTTAATAAATAAAGCTTGCCTGAAGATCAGAGAGTAAAACAGCCCCACTGGTCAGCCTTACAGACCAGGCAGTGGTGACACACACCTTTAATCCCAGTAGCCACACTAGTTCACCACAGAAACCAGGCGGTAGTGGTGCAGGCCTTTAATCCCAGCACTAGAGAGGAATATAAGACAGGAGGAGACAGCTCTCAGACACAGTCTCATTCTGAGATTCCTGGAGGCAGGATTGCCAATTCAGACTGAGGTAGAAGTAAGAGCCAGTGACTGGCTGTTTTGCTTTTCTGACCTTCAGGTTGAACCTCAACCTGTCCCTGGGTTTTTATTAATCGTGCTACAGACAGGATCTTACTATGGAGCTCTGGCTGGCCTAGATCTCACTGTGTAGTCCAAGCTGATCTTGAACATATGAAGATTTGTCTGCCTCTTCCTCCCTAACAATAAGATTTAAAGGCACGTGCCCAGTCCAGAAATTCTTAAATTCTTTAATTTGGAAAAATAGGTTTCTTCATCTACACCCCTAACAAAAAAGGTTTACTTCTTTCTTGACACCTTAACTTTGTTATATGCTTCCTGTGTACTTGGCTCAACCCATTATAGATATAAAAACATAGATTTTGCATACATAACTTTTCATTTTAGTTTACCTCCCAACCTAGAAGCATAATATACTGACCACAACAAATTCTAAATATTGAGGCTAGACTAATGTTTTAGTGGTTAAGAACAATGACTAGTTGTTGAGAGGACCCAAGTTCAATTCCCAGCACCCACATGGCAACTCACAAGTTTGTAACTCCAGTCCTAGAGGATCCAATGCCTTTTTCTAGCCACCACAGGCACATGCAAGCCAAATACCCATACATTCAAAATAAAAGATTATAATTTAAAAATTAATTCTAAATGTTTTAATGTTGCATGAATGATACTTTTACTTTGTAGCCAATTTGGAGGGTTTGATACAGTTTTTACCAGTTATAGCTGAGTCTTTCTCTTTCTGTCTTACACACACACACACATACCTTTTTTTGTTTATTTTCCTGGCATAGTCACAGTATGTAGCTAACTAACTGTCCTGGAACTCACTATGTAGACCAGGCTGGCCTCAAACTCATTGAAACCCACCTGCCTCCACCTCCCGAGTACTGGCATTAAAGGCTTGTGCCACCACACCCAGAGACACAAACTATTTTTAACGCTAAATTGTGAGTTCTCGCACACCAGCGCCAGCTAGGAGATTATCTAGAGCTTCCTCCTAGCAGATGTCAGTGGGAGATGCAAACGCTCTATGCCATTGAAATGTAATGTTCATTTAAGTGATATGTACTTTATACTCAGTTCTGAAGAGCTCTTAAGAATAAGATGCTTTGTCTAATGAGTAACTGCTCAGAACTCACTTTAATGGCTGCCTTAAAGCCATTAAACAGATCAGCAGAGAGCAACACTGATCTCCAAAATAAAGGTTGTTATGTAGTTGGCAATAAACTGCCAATCTCAGAGCTGCCTTCTGACCAGCGCTCTCGGCTCCACCATCTCTTTCCAGTCCAAGGTCTGGAAGGCCAATGGTGACATCACTCCTGAAGACCCCATAGTCTCCTTCCGGCCTCGGGTCTGGAAGGCCAATGTTGATGTCCCTCTTGAAGACTTTTCAAGAGTGAGAAGAAGGTGGGAGTGATAATCTCCCTCCCTACCTCTGGGACCTCGCCTTTGCTTGGCTGTCTGCCTTTCTGGCACAGCAAGTATTCTTCTTTGGAGAATCACAATCTTTTTGCACTTTTGTCTGTGTAGCTGGCTACATGGGGACTGCATGTTCTTAGCCTTCAGCAAACTTGGGGGGGTGAATGCATTTGTTTTGAGGAAAGAGGTAAGAAAGACAACTAATGCTAAATCCAAACTTAAATCGTGTGTGGATGAGCCTGTGTGTGTGTGTGTGTGTGTGTGTGTGTGTGTGTGTGTGTGTGATGAGCCTGGGGAGGTGTGGAGGGTGTTCATGTAGGTGTACATTTATGAGTGGATCATGTATATGCCAGAGGTCAAACTCAAGTGTCTTAAAGATCACTTAAAGAGTGATTTTTTTTTTAAACAAGATCTCTCACTGGCCTGAAGCTGACCGGCTATGGTAGGCTGGCTGACCACTAAGCCCCAGGTAGCCTGTCTGTAACCACCAGCACTGGAATTGCAGCCATGTGCCATTCATTGTGTCTGACTTGCTTGCTTGCTCTTTTTTTTTTTTTTTTTTTTTTTTTTTTTTTTTTTTTTTTTTTTTTTTTTGCGTGGGATCTGGAGGTCAAACTCAGACCCCTGTGTCTGTGCAAACACTTTATTGACTGTGCTATCTCACCAGCCTCTGTCCCTACCTTCCAACTTAAATTTCTTTTTTTAAATTTATTTTATTTTATGTGTACTGCTATCAGAGCCCCTGGAAATGGAAGCACAGACAGTTGTGAACTGCCATGTGAGTGCTGGGAATTGAACTCAGGTCCTCTGGAAGAGCAGCCAGGGTTCTTAAATGCTGAGCCATCTTTCCAGCCCCTGCAACTTAAATTTTTTTTAACAGAGACAACATTTGGTCTTATATGGAAACTCCTCTAGGGGTCATAAACAACTTAACAGCACAAAAATTGAGCAAGATACTAAAGTTGTAAAGCAGAGAGCGTTGCTGGAGCAGCTTTGGTCTGAGGTTGTTTTCGTCTTCTGTAGAACATTTAGTCTCAAAGGTTTTAGAGCATCCATGAATAACAATTAGAAGAAGAAACATCTGTCTGTTAACAACAATGACCTTGGAAAATGGCAATTTCTTTCAAATCTGAAAATCTACCTGTCCAATAATCAAGCAATCCACATGGTATTTGCACAATAGCAATGCAAATATATATTCACAAAAGTCACACACAAGAATATTTCTAGCTACACTATTTATAGAAAAAAACTGGAAAGAGCCCAGATTCCAAACAATGACAGAACAAAAGAGAAAAACTAGAACATAGGAACGAGCAAGGCCTCCTTCCACGTTCCTTACATAACGCTGCCTATAAATTCAAACTGGGCAGAGCTAATCCAAGTCATGCAAGTTGGGGTCATGGTAATTCCTGTTGGGTGGGAAGAAAAAGGAAAAGCAACAGTGAAGGCTTCAGAGACCAGTGACACTTCCGCTTGTCCTCTCTGCCCGGATGTGCTTATGCTTGTGTGTGGATTTTTATGTGTGTGTACAGGCGTGTGCACTGGTATACAGAGCTCAGCAACCAACACTGAGTGTCACCCTCAGGAAGGCCATCCAATCTCTCTCCATGGCCTGTTAGTCTTGACTGGCTTGCAGGGAAGCCCCAGGGATCCTCTTGCCTTCACCTCCCTGGACCTCTTAGATTACAAGAGGCTGTACCACATCTGGCCTTTTCACATGGATTCTAAAGGTGGGGCTTCGGTCCTCATGCTGGTGAGGTACAGCTTGGTTTTACCAACTAAATCATCCCAGCACCCTCCCATCCCCAAACACTCTCTTTCTTGATCGAGATGGCGAATATAGAGGTAAATTCATCATTTGTATCTTTCTGTTTGGATGTTACATTACAATAAAACGTTTACTGTCACACACACGCACACACACTCACACACACACGCACGCACACCACAGTAATAAGCGATGTGCCATATGACTGTCACCACAACTACATTTCTAAAAGATATCTGTAAAATAGGTAGTGTGTGTTGCTGTCCTTTTTCAGACAATGCTTATGAAACAGACAAATTGTTCCTAAGACACCTCTGACTTCTGACAACACCACACTGCTGGCGGATAGGAAGGGCCACAGTGAGGAGAAGGGGAGCAAGCGTCAGGAGCTTCTGAATGCAGCTTCTGACCATTGGCCTCGCTACGAGAGGAATAAAATCAACACGTGGAGAGTACCTCATCTCCCGAGTCTTCAACGCCAGCCCTGTCAACTTACCAAGGGTTACACCACTGGAGAAAATATTTCTTTCTCGCCCCAACAACCATTAACTATCTATAGCCTCTCCCTCCTCTGTGATGGAATGTTGACAACCACTATGGCATGCCCAGAAAGCAGTGTCACAAGCTCCACCACATCCTTCCTCCCTTTCTTCCTCCGCCCTCCTGTTCTGACACTCTTTCCCCTCCTTCAGTGATGCTCCCTGAGTCTTGGCAGGGGTCCTGTTTATCTAATCTCAGCACTTTGAGCAGTTATCAGTCTCTGCACACACACCCCTGCCCACTACGGAAAGAAGCACAAGCATCAGCACTTATAGGGCATTTCGAAGGGGGCATCATGTCCCTTTAGCAAAATAACACCAGCAGTCTCCTACTAGGGCTGGTGGCCTTCCTGACCACAGGCTGTTGACAAGGTTTCTGGTCCCAGATGTGAATTCTTGCCATGGAGTGGAGCTCAAATCCACTCAGGATGTGGCTGGTTACTCTGTGGTTGCCTTAGAGAAAGGAAACTGGGAGACTAAAGTGGGATGTGGACTTCCTTTTTTACTCTTTTGGACTTTACTACCTACTTGAAAATAAATATTTACTTTTAAAATAGTGTCTTCAGAAGAACAATACAACTTAAATTTTCAAATAAAAATTTTGAAATTAAAGAAATAAGGATGGAAAACACAACTTAGCAATGTAATAAAAACTACTAAAACTGCATGCTCAAATTTTCACAAAAAGTGGTCTTAGCTGGCTTTCCGTTAGGGCAGTAAATACCTAGATAACCAACTAAAAGAGAGAGGGGGTGATTTGGCTCATAGTTCTGTAGGTTTCCATGATTGGCCATGCTGCTTTTGGGCCAGTAGAGACACCGTACATCATGGCGGGGAACAATGTGGGAGACAGAGAAAGCTACTTACCTCAGAGTTGGAATTGGGAACAAGAGGAAGAGAAAGGCTGTGGGTTCACAGTCCTCTTTGAAGATGTATCTTCCCTCCTCGATAACCAAGATCTCCCACTAGGCTTCACCTCTTTGTGGGTCTGTGTTTCTGCAGAAATACATTAAAACATAATCTGAAATGCAATATACCCTTTCAGGAGGAACAAGTTCACACACTGAATCATTTCCCAGGAAGAAATAAGCAGAAGAGAGGGAATAAGAGAGGATGACAGAATGAATATCAGCAAAATATAAGTCTACACAGGTAAGAAAAATCTCATCATGATACCCACTATTCTGTGTGCTAGTCCCAAAATAAATCAATTTAACATGAAAAGAAGCAATGGCGGGGAAAGCCCTTTATGAGACAGGTAGATGCCCACACCAACCACTTCTTTCATTACATTTGAGGGAATGTGCACGTGCCCTGTCCCAGGGGTGGGAAGATCCTGCAGGAGTCAATTCTCCCCTCCAACACGTGGATCCTGGGGACTGCGCTCGGGTCATCAGGATTGGTGAGCTGAGTCTCTACCAGTTTAGCCAGCCTGTCAGCCAGCCCCTAACAACTTATTATTTAGCCAGGGTTTAGAGGCTTTGGGAAAAGTGGTGACCAAAAACCATTTTTATGACAGGAATGCATAGCACGAATTATGAAGTCATTCTTGGGCCTGCTAATTTTACACTGAACTACAAAATTCCCATGTTCCTATCAGCGCTCTTTATAGTCACAGCAAAACACAAAGCATATTGAAACATTATTTTCCTAAAATTACGCCATACAGACAATAGTAGTCCTAACACGAGCCACAGCGTACTGTTCCAACCAGACCATTAAGTAGTAGAGAAGTACTTGTCGCGGTTTCATGAGTTCATCAAAGAAAGGCAGAAATGAACCTGGAGCAACAGAGTTTATAACACGGCACTCATTAGGTTTCGTGCAAATGGTTGTTTAAATTCCCAGAGGAAACTCTGTCCATCTGGCAGGCATGACAGCAGAGCGAGGGGACCAGATGGGCTTCGAAATGGGTCATTCCTGGCAGAGCAAAGGATGCTTAAGGTAGGATTGATTCTTGATGCACCACCTGAGGTCCCCATGACAGACCATTCACAGCCCCACTGGACCTGTCCCCAGGTGCAAGAGTTAAAGAGTAAAAGCCATCTGGTGGCTGAGTGAGAAAATGACAGTTCCGGCGATTCCGAGGGCTAGTGTATGGAAAACTAAACAGGCTCTTTGGTTCAGCCAGCTTCACTTGTACACGAAAGCATCGTAAGCGGCTCCAGGTTGGCCATAAAGATCTCCTCCAAATCCTGTTCCTCCCTCATCGTGGTAGCCAGGGTCCTCAGTCATGCTGTGGCTCTCAGTCAATGCTAAGTGCAGAATACATCACTTCTATAAGTGGACAAATGATCAAAAGTAGGCACTCAGAGGGCTGAGGACAGCATTCTGTGTGTACAGCGCTGGCTTTACGAGCACAAGGGCCTGAGTTGGGAACCCAAGCACATAAAAGCTGGCTGTGATGGTGTGTGCCTGTAATCTCAGCCCCAGGAGGCAGAGACAGGAGGATCCTTAAGGGCGCTTTGTCCAGTCAGTCAGTCTAGCCAATCGGTGAACTCCTGTCCATGAGAACAGAAAATATAGTAGACAGTGATAGAGGAAGGTACTCATTGGTTTCTGGCCTCCACAATTGCATGTATGGACATGCACACCTACACACACACACACACACACACACATTACACACCAACGAGACTCGGTAGTTCGTGAAAAGCATCGCTTTGCTCCTCTGCAGAAATGCCGTGGGGAAGAACTGCTCAACACACAAAGGCAAACACATGTTATGTTTCTCCGACATTCCACTAGAAGTTCGTTCATCCCAGAATGCCATTCCTCATTCACTCTTTTTGATCAGCCTTCAGAATAGTCCGGATGATTAAGAGCAGCATTTAAATTCAGATCTGTGTTTTCATAGAATTATAATTAGTGCTTTCCACAGAGAGACCTGTCTGACTCCCATGTGGCAGGTCCCAGTGTGTCATTAACAAGACCAAGACATTAGACAGAGAGTAGGGAAGTCTCTTTGAGGAAGAATTTCTGGGTGACAACACCTCTTCTTTGGTTTGATTTTGATTTCCCTTTCTGCTGACTGGGTGGACCATTCTTCACTGATCTGTCATGTAAGCAAGCAGATTGAAGCAGAAGTTCAAGGATATCATTTCGTCTTTTCCCACCCATTTAAACCTTGTGTAAACTCTCTGGTCAAGAGAAAAACTGGAATGGGGGGGGGGGTAAATCAGGAGGAAGTGATGTTTGCAGCAGAGAGCCATGAACATAAGAATTTCCCAGTGGGCAGATTCAAGACTCTTTTTGGCCCATGAATGGTAAGGGCCCATACTTGCTGGTTGGATAAACTAGGTATCAGTAATTGCTGCCTCTGATTTCACCCTATTGTGAATGAGAATTTTTATGGTAGTTATACTATTGCTGCTGTAACTTTTGTATGGTGTGTGTGTGTAAGACAGAGAGAAAGAGACAGAGACAAAGACAGAAACAGAGACAGAGAGAGACACAGAGACAGTGAGAAAGAGAGACAGAGATGGAGAGAGAAAAAGAGGTGGGAAAAAATTTGTTGATTTTGTTTATAGACTTTTGTTTAAGTGTCTAGATTTCTAGATTAAGACATGGACCAAACAAAAAGTATGGAGAGAATTTGATATGCAGGAAGTAAGACCTTTGATCTAAATATAGTCATCAGTCAAAATTCTAGACATTATATATATATATATGAGGTTGGAGGAAAATACATAATTATGAAACCATTACCACAATCTAGTAACAAACAATAACAATAAATAGTCATTTTTCAAAAAAAAAATAAACCTTGTGTAAAGTAACATCGAAAAGCAACAATTCGCCCAGCTAGACTGCAGGATGCCAACTGGAGCATGATTTCCAGGAAGCTCCAATCTTTGGGTGTCTCTACATTTTTGGGAAGTCCCAAACTGGAATGCACCCTCCCCATCTCTGTGCTCGGGAACACCTGCAGACTCAGTGATGGGGAGCCCTTGGGTTCTTGGTCTGTTTCTCCAAGCTGATCCGTTGGGACCGAGTTAGGAACCTCTGTAAACCCTCTAAACTAGACGCATTTGCTACAGGGCTACACAGGCTCACTTTGTCTAGACTAGCTGACATGCAGAAGGTAGAATAAAAGGACGGGTTAGAGGCAGTGACACTCCCACTCCATCCCCTCGAAAACATCTTCAGAAGAACGCATGACAGGTGTCTAAGAAATCCTTCCACCTAATCGGATCCTGACACTCTGTTCCTGCATTTCTTCCTTCACTTGTCAGCGATGAAGCATCAGAAAACTGTAACACCCCCAGGAGCTGACAGCGAGTCTCATCAGGAAGTACATACCAGGATGCAATGTTCCAGAAAGGAAACATCACGTCCAGGTACACATCGTAATCCAGATATGGTGGTGTAATCCCAGCACTTGGGAAGCCGAGGAAAGAGTCAAGAGTTCTAGACCAGCCTAGACTAAACAACAAGACCCTGTCTCAAAACAAAAATGAAATTGGATTTTCCACATCTATCTTCTATATAGTCTTTCTGTGAGTAAGAAAAAAACACATAGCTTAGTTAGTTTAGCTTCATAGGAAATCCATGTGCAGTGGGTGTGTGCATGTGCCATGACATGTGTGGAGGGCAGAAGACAACCTCCCATGTGTCAGCCCTTGCCTTCCTCTCCACAGAGGACTAGGGAAACAAAGGCAGGGTTGAAGCAAGAAGAGAAAGAGGGTGGATCCAGCGTCCTGACTCCCTGGATGCATTCTGACTCCCTGGATAAATCCATCATGGCCGAGTGGGAATGACCAGGTGATGGAGGTTTTCCTGGGCACTGATGTTATCTAAGGACTTTCTGTTTCTGTCTAAACTAGTGGATCAGGTATCTGATTCAGCAGACAAATCCATTGACATTCGTAGTTAATTTATGGACTGTGAGAGCTACATTCCTTGTTCCTGAGCTGTTACATGGCTGTATAGGAAGCTCATAAATGTTTCTCAGTTGTGAGAAATAGGAAGTTAAATCTTTTTGTGTGTGTGAGAGACAAGAGTGCCATTTTGTAGCGCACACTGCCATACTAGCCTGTAACTCACCACATAGCTTAGAACTCACTGCAATTCTCCTGCCTCAGTTTTCATAGGTCTGAACCACATCCAACCAAATCTTAGTTTAAGTTTTAGTTTATTTTACTTTTATTATTGTGTGTGTGTGGAAAGCAGCAGAGAGCTTTCAGGATTCGGGCTACACCTACAGTCTCAGGGATCGACTTGGGTTGTCAGGCTTGTGTGACAGGGGCTTTGACCCACTGAGTCATCTTACTGTCCCTATTTGTTGTTAGTTTTGTTGTTGTGGAAGACAGATATAAGCTTCTTGTGTTGTCTTAAACCTGTAATTCCCAGAACTCAGGAAGCTCAGGCAGACTTGCCATTAGCGTGAAACTACCTGGGGCTGCATAGCAAGTACCAGGGTGGCAAGGGATAGATTAAAACCTTATCTCAGAGAAAAAAAAAAAAACAGAAAGAAATTGAGAAGGGAGAATAAGGGAGGAAGGGAGGGAGGGAGGGAGGAGGGAGGCTGTTAAGGAAGGAAAAAAATCAGGCTTGTTTGCCGTTTAGTTCAGTGTTTGCAAGTATTCTACTTATAGGACCTTAAGGCTTTAACGGGGGAAGGGACCAGAGATTTCAAACTCGAGAGCTATGGAGAAATTTAAGGGAAAGAAGGTTGGGAAAGGAGCTGTGAATTCTGCTTTGATACAGCTTTGGGTGACAAGCAGAGAAGGCTGACATCTCTATTCCAAGTGCCCAGCAGATGCTGGATCAAGTCACTAAGATGGTTGGCAGGGGTACAGCCGCCCTGTGTTTATGAGAGTGTGCTGGACACCTCTGAGGCCACCGCCCACAAAGTCTGGCTTCTATTCTGAGTAGTCATTTATGACGCCCATAACAAATATCAAGAGGTTTGTAGGGCCAGTAATGTTCTGGGCAGACATAAACTGAGACAAAACGATCAGTAAATCTTGACTCATAAGGGGCAAAGTGAGCATGGTTAAACAGAGGTCCACTGAGGAAGACATCAAAAGAGTCTTCTAGGTGTGGCGCCTCAAGCCTGTAATCCCAGTACCTGGGGGGCTGAGGCCAGAGGACTGCAGCAAGTTTGAGTCCAGCCTGGGTTACACAGTGAGCTCCAGGCCCCACGCTTCAGGGTGAGACCCTGTTTGAAAACCAAAACAGAGAAGGAAGAAAGGAAAGGAGGTTGTAATGGCCTCAGAAGTCTGAAATTAAAAGACACCTATGAAGGGTACCAGTGAGTGCCATCCATACCCAGGAAGCCCCCACACTGCGCCTCCCTGGCAGTCTTCTGAAACGCAGGAAAAGAAAGCAGCAAGGAAGTTGCATCTTACACAAATTGATAAAACCCCCTCCCTGCATACAGGCAGCTGATGAAGGATAATCCATTACAGCTCCAATACCCCATGCCAGAAGACAGGTTTTCTTCCGCACTCGAGGCTTAGGTTCCTCATAGAGCTTTGGTGAGGTCAAGGAGCAGCAACAGCAGGTCTAAACTGAGGTAAGTATGTTTGGGCATTTCTGGCTCCATGAGGTCAATCCTTGCTCACCTTGCTGTGAACTGCACGAGACACACAGTTATATAAGTTAATATCAGTCTGGGACGCACCAGAGATGCTAGTTTGGAAATGTCTTTGATGGCTAGAAAACCTACTATGTATTCATCCATCTATCCATCCTTCTGTTCTCTTCCCACACCCACCTCTATCAAACCCAGAACTAGACAAGTGCTCTACCACTGAGGTATACCCCCAGCTTACACAAAACTTCTTTATTGGCCTTGTTCTTGGGAAAATGTTGGCTATAATTCACGCAGGTACACATAGCATAGACCCATTTTGACATCGTTGTTATGTCCTCTTGAAGTGAGAATCAAAGAGAGATGCAATCATTTTTAGGAGGGTTTTTGCTTGGTGTTGCCTAATGTCTTTCAAATCCAGTTTTAAACCTGTCTCAGGAAACTCTCTGCAGTTGCCTAAATCAAGCCCAGATCATCCCCCAGCTTCACACCGTGGACTCTAAGCTTGTGGATTAAAAGAAAGGCTGTCCGGGAACTCTTCTCCACCTGCAGATACCACAGTCTAGATCCATCTTTCCCCAGAAAGAAAGCATCAACATTGTCTGAAAACCAGAATGGCCTAATGGCATGAGCGGTCTCTCAAATTCCACTTCCTCTGTAATTGCTAAGCCTAAGCACAGCTGTCCAAACCTCCTAGCACTGGCTCTAAAACTGTAGGGTGAGCTGGCACACAGGTGCATACCTGTAAGTCCAACTGCACGAGCCAGGATTTGAGGCCAGTCTGAACAGCATAGTGGTAACCCACTTCCAAATGGTGTCGTACCAACATTAAGATGAGGCCAACAGAAGGTGTGATTGGTGCCTTCTCCCGTGGAAAATGTAACGATGCAAGGGCTCTTGGGGTTATTGGTGGTTATGTTTTTTAACCTTTCCTAGAAGGAAGTAGGATGAGTTCACCAGAAGCCTGAGTCTGAAGTGCTTGCCTATGGGGCTGGCTTGGTTAGGATTTCTTCTGTGGGAATCTTCTAGAAAAAGCAGTTCAGGGGTTAGAGGTGCAATTCAGTAGAACATTTTTCTAAGATACACAAAGTCCTGGGTTGTGAGAGAGAATGAGAAACAGCAAGAAAGAGAAACACACTCACACATACAGAGAGAGAGAGAGAGAGAGAGAGAGAGAGAGAGAGAGAGATTATTATTATTATTATTATTTTTTTGGTTTTTCGAGACAGGGTTTCTCTGTGGCTTTGGAGCCTGTCCTGAAACTAGCTCTGTAGACCAGGGTGGCCTCGAACTCACAAAGATCCGCCTGCCTCTGCCTCCCAAGTGCTGGGATTAAAGGCGTGCGCCACCATCGCCCGGCTGAGAGAGAGATTTTTTAACGTCAATTTCTGAAATAGTTCAGGAGAGGCTGTGACTCAGAAAAGTTAATTAAATACCCTTTCAAAGTTTTTGCAGCCATGCTTTTGAAATAGTGCCTTACGTATTTCCTTCTTTCTCATTTCGGAGACATCCAGGAAGGCTCTGGGGACACGGTCATTCTACTCAAGTCCTGCCAAAAGCAATTGTAAGAAAAGAAGCCACTTGATTGGGTCAAGAGGAATAATTACACTGCCTAAAAATAAGCCGAGTCTAAGGGGAGAAAATGAAAAGCTCCACAGAGACGGTGGCCCGCGCTTCCTCTCTGGCCCCCTTTCATCACCGTGGAGCCTGCTCTAATAGCCTGTCATTTCAAGCCAGATGATTCAGAGGCCTGGCCACGGCCTAGAGTGTTTCATCTGTGGCCATTCATCCTGCCGAGGAAGAAATGGGCCTTTAGTCATGCAGAGAAAAGCTATAACCTCCTGACCCGTGACCAGTCAAAAGATGTTGGTCCACTGCGTTTACCTGCGTGCGGGAGCTGGCGGAGTTGGAGCTGGCAGAGTTGGACCTGGCCCTGAAGGGGTGTGGCTTATTTCTGATGGTCCAACAGAACAGACTCTTTCAAATTTTGCCTATCAAGACCAAAACTGAAGCATGAGAATCTATCGTTGTGACTTCCCTCTTCCTGTGCCCTATGACTGCCTTCCCTAGCTGGAGTGTAAGGGAATGAATTAGCTGGTTTTGGGGTGGGAGAATTATGAATTATGAGGTCGCCATACAGCATCTTCCTCATTAATTAAGAGGAAGCCCAGCATTCTCTCAGACCTATTTTCTGATTGAGTCAGCAGACCCCACCTAGAATCTGACCTCTTCCCTGAGCAGATAACCACAGAGAAAAATGGCTTCCGGGAGGCTCGTGTTCACCTGCTGCTAGATGTCTGCCTCACCCAGTGCTGGCCTCTCGGATCAGAACTTTTTGTCTGCTCCTCCCCTTGAGTTTTCTCTCTGCAGTAGCTAACCCAGTTTTGATCTCTAGCCACAGCGCATGCCTTAACCTTTGTTTTGCATGCCCACAGCTTGCCTTCACCTCAGTTCTTCCTTCTTACCTTTGGGCTCCTGGACCCAGTCAGTCCTTACTATGTGAGGACAGTGGAGGCACCGTTAGTCTGAAACAGTGAAGCCCAGCGTTCGTGATTAACGAGGAGAGACTAGCCAAGGTTCAGTGAGCATGCAACTGCTCACATGAAGGCATACGTTTCCTTATTATGTATACAAACTTCATTTTCCTTATTACATATACAAGCTTCAGAAATCACAGGCAGTATTCAGACTAAAAGGGGACAGACTTTTCAGTCTCAGGACATACAAGCAAAGCATATTCCTTAAAAATGTGTGTTTCCTCCCAAGGCAGGATTATGCAGTCACCTCTTGCTGTGCCAACAATGCCACCCAATGCCCTAAGGCATTAAACTTGAGTTCCTTTAAGACCTGAGTGCTAGGAAGCTACAAGAAGTGCACAGATTCTAGGAAACTGCCCTTTACAAACACAAATGCCCGGGGTGAACAATCGCGCATGTGTCTCCATGGTTGTGCTCTTGTTTTAGGTGTCCAAATGTGTTAGGCTGTCTGAAATAACAAAGGTAGTTTGGAGAAAAATGGTTAGACGGAATGTTCCAGAAGGAATGTTCCAATGGGAACAGAAGGCTTGGCTGGAAAACTTGCCCAGGCACTGATCAGATGGCCTCCAAATTCTTTCTAAAACAGGGAGAGGTGCTTCTAGATCATACTCAGGGCCAGAAAATACCTCAGATGTTACTCAGTTCAACCACTAAACTTTCGGAGACAGAGAGGCTTCCTGGTTACCAACCTGCACCCTTTCTGGAGAGATCTTAGTAGGGCAAAGGCTTCTGTGTTTTAAGCAGATGCCCTCCTTTTGGCTCCACACAAATTCTAGACTTTCACATGGCATCACCCAAACACACCCCTTCAAGCCAGGTGAAGTTTTGCAGTTCCCTCCTGGGTTCCAGGTTCAAACATTGTGTCATCTCTGGCGTCCCCATTCCTCACCTGAAGTTCTCCACCTCTTCTTCCTTTCTGGCATAAGCTGTCATTGTCCTTGTCAAAGGGTCGGGTAGAGGAGACCACAGAGTTCACTGACAAACACCAAGAATAGAGAAACCATTTCCAAGCACACTTCTTCCATGTTCTGAGCGTCATGCTCTTATTAATGTAGCCCACAATGTGTTCGTGCTATTTGAGGGGAGGTCATATCATATCATTGAGTTATTTTGATCTTCTTCCCCTTATGTGATGCTTCTTTCCCCTGTATAGAGATTAAACAGTCATTCTTGAATCCTATGCCCTTTGATTGCTGGTTTCTTTCTGAGTGTAGAACTTTGCACTTTACCTCTGTTGGAGTTCATCTTGTTAGTGTTGAAAACCCTATAAGAAGAGTTCAAGGCAAAGAGAATGTAATAATGACCTTCAAGGAAGAAGAAACAAGAAATAGTTCCAAAAAAGCAGAAGGCTCTTGGGCTCTTGTTTGTTTTCTGTTGTTGGAATAAACAACATGGCCAAAAGCAACTCAGGAAGGGAAGGGTTTATTTCAGCTTACAGGATATATATATATGTGTGTGTGTGTGCGTGTGTGTGTGTGTGTGTGTGTGTGTATCTGTGTGTGTTCAGGAACACCTAACATTTAACAAGAAAAAGCTATAAGGAAAAGGTTTTGAAAGTTAACAGAGAAAGAAATAAGGCAAATTGGAGATATAATAATCCCAGGAAATTTCTCAGAACAGAAAGTTTTCAGTTATCAAATGAAAAGGGTCCACACAATGCCCAGAACAATAACTTTTTAAAAGGACCACATTCTATACCCATATAATCTCACCAACATGGCTACCTAAATACCCGCTGGACAAGGACCATCATAGGCATGCATGTCCAAAGAGCACAGGGTAAGGACCAGAACGCCTCAACCCTACACAGACAGCCAGAGGCCGCTAAGGAATGCTGAGCGAGCAGGATAAATAGTCTTCTGCAAGGAGGAGCACACCATGGTTATCCAGCACCAATGGAAAGACAGAGGATAACATTCGGTAGCAGTAAGAAGGAAGATGACACATTAGGTTACATTGGACACAATCATCTCTGCATATGGACCTATGCTGTAGAGTAAATCAGAAATTAATTAAAATAACTATTTCCATTTAAAAAGAAAAAGAACAGACAGACACACACACACACACACACACACACACACACACACACAGAGAACCCACATCTACTCAGGACACCAGAGATAAAGGGAAGATGGTAAAAGTTGCAGAATAGAGAGTAGGTGACAAAGAATCCAAAGATAGAATGCTTTAGGAACTGGGAGAGCAGAGCTCGGCTTTCTGAAATCTGAGAGAAAATTATCTGTGGCTCAAAATTCTATCTTATACATCAACTTAATATAAATCCAGACGGCTGGGGAGATGGCTTAGTGGCTAAGAGTGCTTATTATTGTTCTTGCAGAAGACCCAAGTTTGATTTCCAGCACCCACACCGGCCCCTCACAACTGCCCATAACTCGGTTCCAGAGAATCTGACACCCTCTGTGCTCTGTGAGCCCCTGCACACATGTAGTGCACAGAAAATCATGCAGGCACACATACATACATGCAAATGAAAACAAAATTTTAAAATGATCTTAGATATAAAGCCAGAATGAAGATGCTTTCTGTTTTCACACATGAATTGCCTGAACTTACACCCTGACCCTCGTTTCTCAGAAAGCTAGTACAGAACATTTGTCAGCAAAATGAGGAGGCAACAGAAGAAGACGGAAGAAATAAGACTCAATTCAAGACACAGGCACAGAGTTTTTGCTAGGATCATGCTGAGGAAGTGTCCTGGGAAGAGAGCCATCTAGGAGGCTCAGAGAGCAGCCAAGACAGGGCAGAGCAAGAGGGAGAACACAGGAAAGATTTCTCTAAGAAGACGAAAATGAGAAATTAGTGCTAAGTCTGAGCCAGCGGGGAGAGGATTTAGACAACCATGGGGAGTTTGTGGTTAAATTAATTACACTTTTAGAAGACATTAAGGGAAGAAGAACACAGCAATTATTAACCTCAGGGAAAATAAAATGTTGTGTAAGAAGGGGCAAGTGATCACAGTGTGCCACGTGGCTTGTCTGAAACTGTCATTTACAGGGTTACATGAAATCTTGGCCCCAGCCAGAGTGGGCCGGGATTGGTCCAGATTCGTGCTGGTTCAGATTCATGCTGGGATGCGAATGATGGTACATACATATGCAGATGGTCATGTTGACAAGGGGCAGTGGTGAAACTGAACTTGAAGTTTCTCTTTCATGGTAGAAAGTTAATTATGTTCAAAATAGAAATGCTAAGGAATAACAGTATATCCATGGTATTTAGAAAAAGGAAGGCGGGGCTGGGAGTAGTTCAGTGGGAGAACAAATTCTTAGTGTGGTTAAGGCCTGGAGCCACCAAAAAAAAATATAAAGATTTACAAACTTTCTCTGGCTGGAGAAGCATGTTTGGTAGAGAGCTGTGTAGATTACTTGACTGCACTTGCACAATACCTACAATAAAGTTTCTTAAACTAAGTTTTGGGTTGTTTGTTTGTTTTTTGATATAAGGTCTCACTCTGAAGCCAGGCTAGACTTAAACTTGTGGCTATCCTCCTGCCTTAGCCTCTTAAGTGCTGGAATCATAGACAAAAGCCACCATGCCCCCCCCCCTCTCTCTCACACGCACACACAAACTAATTTGAAACAAGAATGAGTAAGTGAATGAAGGAGCCAAGAAAGTCACCTAATTAAAAACAGTTGATTAAAAATACCAACAAGGAAAAACAGCTGGAAAGAAAGGCCTAGAATGGTAAACGAAGAGGGAAGTGAACTACTAGTTCAATACTTCAAGACTGAGAGAGGCCAGAAATGAAGCCATGTTTAAATACGTAACGATTATGGTAAAGAGGAGGCAGGACCAGTCACTACTGACTGCTAAGTTCATCTTCCATATATTTCTCAATTTTATGCTCTTGCCCTAACTCCATCTTATTTTCCTTAGCCGAGGTCAGCAACATCGAGGTCCTACATAGCTGGAAATGCTCCCTGCTTCTAGACTTGTGCAATTCCAGCCCACCCTGTTGGAGGATATTCCATCACACTGTGAACCCCAAGTTTGCATTTGCATTAATTAAATAAAATTGAACTTGGGTCGGGAGGCTGAGTTAGCAACTAATTGACAGAAAGTAATCACAGAACCTTGGAGGGCATCTGGAAGAGATAGAAAGATGTACAGGAAATAGTAGGGAGGGGTTTCGGGTGGCACATTTTTTATTTGTTGTTGTTGTTAGGCAGAGCAGAAGAATGGACTCTTTGGGAGATAGCAGCAAGGAGACACGGTTAGCTAGGTGAGACTCAACCTCTCTGAGCTAGCAGGTTTTCACCCCAGCCTTTGAGTCTCGAGTTTGTTTATTTATTTATAAATAGAATGATAGAGATTTATTTAAAGCTACATACAGTGGGAGCAACAAGGCTGGTGCCTACAAGAACAGAATTCCTGCCAGGCTGTGGCCTGAACGACTAGGCCACTGCCAGAGAAACAGAGTCACAATTGCTGGCTGAAATTACAGTAGATTAAGAGGCAGCTGCTGTGTCAAAGATAAAACAACACTTCTCTATGCAGAACGCCCTTTCTAAAATAGCAATCCAGGCCTGCTGTCCCCCAGACCAAGTGCTTTAATGGCTTCTCATGACCTCTGTGGGAGACCAAGTGATCAGGAAGAGAGGAGAACTCTTGAATAATCGCTCTACCATCTTTTCCCTACATTGCTTCATCACACAAAGATGGTGCCCCTCCTCAGTTTTACCTTTGTTCCTCTCCACGCTTGCACCATAACCTGCCTAGTTCCTCTGCATCCTACGTAGCTCTATATCACATTCTCTGACCTCTTGATCTAAAGGTTTCCTCTACTCAGAGCTGTAGCTCTGTCAGAGTATCCAACAGCTTAACTCCAGTTTCCAGAGCTCTCCCCGTGGGCAGTAGCTCTATAAAAGCCAGGGCAGTGTCTGTTTTAATCTATTAGCTGCGAGCTGACTAATCACGATGCCAGTTCTCCACCTCACAGCAGCTCACCTACGGGAACTCATCAACTAACCCATCTGTCCCCTGGAGTGGAGTTAAAGTCACCATGCTAAGATGAGGAAGAACTACCCTCTCTCGCTCTGTCCATTCTGTTCTCTGAGTAGGTCTTACTCTCTCCACTGTTTCTTATCCTTCCAGCTTTAGGATCTGAGAATTAAAAACCAGCATGGTCTTCCTTTCTGCCTCCAGCAGAAGAATCCTGGGAAAAATCGATTTAGTTTGTCAGAAGCTACCCCTGTATCAGAACGAAGGAGCAAGTGGATGGGCCAGCCTCCGGTTATCATGGCCAAACAGATTGACTGGAGCACTACACAGCAGAAAAAAATAATGGCATCTTGAATTTTGCAGGAAAATTGATGGAGCTAGAAAACATCATTTTGAGTGAGGTAACCCAGACACAGAAAGACAATTATCATATGTTCTTACTCATAAGTGCTTTTTAAGCATAAAGCAAAGAAAGCCACCCCACAGTCACAATCCCAGAGAACTTAGACAACATGAGGACCCTAAGAGAGACAAACATAGATCTAATCTACATGGGAAGTAGAAAAAGACAAGATCTCCTGAGTAAATTGAGAGCATGGGGACCTTGGGGGAGGGTTGAAGGGGAGGGGAAAGTCAGGGAGGGGAGCAGAGAAAAATGTAGAACTCAAAAAAATCAATTTTTTTTAAAAAAAGGATTAACCATAAAATCCTATTGGCCAGGTCTGGATCTATTGCCAGAAGAAGGAAATTCCTTGTCACGCTCACTATGTACCTTACTGTCCAGAAAGAAAATGGTCTATGACTGTTGAATAGACCTAGGCGCCCACCAGTGCCTGGTGCCTAAACCTATTCTGTTTGCTTAGGAAACTTTAGCAAATTAGTAAGATTTTTTTTTTTTTTTAGGTATGGTAACACATGCCTATAATATCATCTACCGGGAAAGCTGAGGCAGAGGGTTGCAGATTCAATGCCAGTGAAGCAGACTTAGTGAGACCAGTTCAAAACAAAGTCAGTTTTAAAAGATGAAGAAAGGGGGAGGAGGTGGTTAAAGCGCTTGCCACAAAAGCAAGAGTACTGGAGTCTGGATCTCCAGAACCTGTGTAAGTGTGAGGTGCACATGGCAGCCCATCGATGCCTCTAATTCCAGCCTCAGAAGGTGATGACAGCGATCCCCAGAGCAAGGTGCTAGTGAAGGTAGCCATATCTACAAGCTCTGGGCTTGACTGAGAAGCCCTGCCTCAGAAGAGTAGGGTGGAGGAATGATTGAGGAAGATGACTCACACCAAACTCAGGCCTCCACATGAATGTGCATACGTGTGCATTCACAGCCCTGTACACAGTTAAGAACATGCATACATACATACACTCAAGCACATGGAAAGAAGAAAGAGAACCAAAGGGGGTGTGAGGATATTAGTTCAGTGGTTAGCTTGTATAGCATTCATGAGATTCTATGCTCTCCAGTAAATATCCTCCCCCCACAGAATAGGAAAGGAGGAAAGGGGGTTGCTAGAGTCAATTAGTCAAAATGAAATATGATGGTATCAGATGTTTATATAACCCTCGTGGCCAGATTCCAAGTACTTCTTGTACACTAACCACTTCATCTTCGGAAGAACTTGGTGCCCTAGATTCTATTCATGTTGTGGAAATTGGATTTGTATCCAAGTTAGTGAATCTGGAGGGACCAGAAACAGATCTGCTTGAGGTTGTTGTAAAGGCAGCAGGAGCAAGTAGCTGTGACACCAGAGGACTGATCTGTCCTTACCCAGCAGATACTACAAGGACTCACCTGTGTCTAGACTCTCCTGGAGAGATTCTAAGGGAACAATACATGCTAGGTCATGGGCATTTCATATCAGGCTCTCCTCATAGACACCAAGTCATTGTCACACAGAAAAACCTCCTTGAATTAAAGTGTTCTCTTGTGTGTCCGTGTGTACACGTATGTGCCCATAGATGCAGGTTTGGGGGATGTACATTAACACACATGTACTCATGTAAGGAGACCAGAGGATAATGTTGGGTGACATTCCTTAGGTAACACCCTTATTTATTTATTTTCCTTAAAGCAGGGTCTCTTGTTGGCCTGGAATTTGTCAAGTAGGTTGGCTGGCTGGTCAGTGAGCCCTCCATATTGCAAAGCAGATCTACAAACTGAGCTATCTTCCCAGCCCTGATGATTTTTTTTAAGTAAGGCACCTCAAATTATGCAGCTGAGAATGACCTCGAGTTCCTGATCCTCCTGTCTCCACCTCCCAAATGTTGGGATTGCCCACACTCGCTATCATGACCAACTAAGAACACTATCCTTATTTTACTATTTTGTTCCCCTCTCTTCCCTGTCTTGGCAAACACTTTGCTCTGGGATAAAGTAAACCACAAGTGAGGGTCCCTCAAAGCAAATTTCTCCTCCCCCTCCTAACTAGGTCACAGAAGAAGTAAAGACAGAGAAACAGAAAGGCAAGGTTGTAGATAACAAATGAGAACAGACCAACTACCTCAGCTTCTCATTGTGGCCAACGTTTACCCGTTAAGATCTTTTAATTCAGTCACTCAACAAAGACTTATTCAACTTCAGCCAAGTGTAAACACCAGCGGCACAACAACATCTCACCTGTTCCCACTCTCCAAAGGCCTGTTCTGCCCCCTACTTCACGCTGTAGTTCTTCAGGGAGAGAAATATAGGATAGGATGTCAAAAGCAGTACTCTGTTGGGTGACATAAAACTCCCTCTGAGCAGGAACTTCCCTCTGAGCAGTCCGTTACCTCATATGACATAGGCTCCAGCTTGTTACTTTTATCCAGTTTAGGTAGTACCCAGCGGGTCAGTGATAGATTTTAGCACAGAACAGAAAATAAATGAGTCAAAGGGCAACCAAAACCCTAATCCCAAGAAATCTTAATTCCGCAACATTTGGGGGAATCCCTGGTCATATTAAAGGAGTACAATTGCCTAGGCCTAGAACTGAATCTCCTGTGATTTATGGAATCACCACTTGTGACTTACATCCCTGAGTGTTCACCCTGGTACTGCAATTATTTTACTTTCTGTTCATCTGGGAGTTGTCTTTTTCCAAGAAATACTTAGGAAGATCACTACTATTACATCTTCAGGGATAAACTGAATGATTTGTGTAGCATGAATTCTGATTGGTTTTAATAATAAAAACCCCGAGTCAGACATAGGGATAATGCTGAAAGCAGAGAAGCAGGAAAGCCAGTCACTAGTTCCTATCTCTAAAAATTACCAAATCTTCAGACCAAAGGGACGATCCTGTCCCTAGGAATCCTCGGATTGAATGCAATGCCTCCTGTCTCCTACTACCTTGTATCTCTCTCTCTCTGCCCAGCCATATCCCTTCCTGTCTCTACTACCCTAGTGCTGGGATTAAAGGCGTGTGACTCCCAAGTACTGGGATTAAAGGTGTGAGCTACCACTGTTTGGCTCTGTTTCTCTTTTAGACTG